CAAAACATTTTTATAAGTTTAAAATGGTATTTTTTTAATATAATAACCAAGAAAGTTTTTTTTGAACTATGTTTATGAACGGAAATAATGTGTTAATTACGTAAAGTTTGAAGGCTAATAACCAGAAAAAGTCTAACTTATTTTTACAAAGAGAAAGATGCAAAGTTATCATATCTTTGCTTGCGATCTCCGAGATCTGTGGACACAGTGACGTCATGAGGAGGGAAATCGTAGCTTCAGCTCTAAGAGCGGAGTGAACTAGCCCTTGTATTCTCTTTAGCCCTGGTCTTCTTCGCTATGATTTGATAACGAGTGTTTTTGTTTCTACATCATTGCTCAGATATTAATAGGCGACCTCTAATAAGTTTTTTTTTTTTGAAAAAGATTCTGAAACTATAGATTAATGGTTATAATAGAACACCCTGTATGGAAGGATTAAATGAAAAATAAAGCAGTGAAAGTTAAGAAAAGTCTATTCACACTTTGATTCGAAGTCAAGTGCTTCTTCCCTTCTCTTGCTTCGGTTGCATTTCATCTTTCGAATTTCTATGGAGCGTTTCCTTTAAGACTTTTATTTTATAACCGTTGTCGGAGAGCCGACCCAATTTTCGGGTTTACGACTACTAATGTTCAACTCCATAACCTTGTAATTTAGAAGACAATAAACACCTGGATCAAGTATTTAGCGAAAATTGCCTTCGTGGAGGACTTTATGATGGAACTAGCCTGCATTTGCGTTACATGGAGAGAAAAATCATGAAAACTTCACACATTTCGTCTGGTGGCAAGGTGACTACAACCTAGGATCCGTCAACCTCTGAGGATACTTTAAGTCAGTGCTGTGTTCGGTGCGAGTCATCGCTGGGTTTCGAACCCGGTTCTCGTCATTGGAAAGCAAACGTTCTATCCCCTGAGCCACAACGGTTCCTTTAAAATTTATTACAATGAAGATAGTCTGAAATCGGAATAAGATAATTATTTTATTTTTTAACCAATTGTTTTGAAATTCCTTAAAAACTGGAGCCGCAAATTTAAAAACTAAGTAAAATTAGATGGTGCGTTGGGATCCATTGAGGATTAGAACCATGGGTGTTTTGGAACCTCGTCAAAATTTGCTCCGTAAATTTTGAAAATTAGGAAAAGTTAGATCGTAATTTAGGCCCCTGGTGGTACATGACAAAAAATAGCAGCGCTAAGATTAAAAATTAAGGAATGTTGGATAGTGTTTCTGATTTCAACGAAAATTAGCTCCGTGTGTCTTAAAAATGAAGAAAAATTGGATGTGGCTTTGAAATCACGCGAACTCTCAATTCTAAATTTTTATAGCTATAGTCTTAAACATTTTAGAAATGTTGTATCAACGGTTATTTGGTATTCGCGTGAAAATTAGTGCCTTTTAATTCTTTTTGATCATTTTCGTAAGGTCATAATGCTATAAATAAAAAAATCTATCTATATTATATAAAACGCTAATACGTATGTATCAATAAAACCGAGGATATTTCTTTTCTCGCGTTGGCAACAGTTTTCATTTTTAATTGATAGGCTTTTCGGTGCGCAAGAGCACGTAGTGAGCATCACATGGCTAATCTATATTATATAAAACGCTAATATGTTTTAATCGATAGGCTTCGGCGCGCAAAAGCACGTAATCATATGTCTAATCGGGTGAATTCTCACCGAATTATCTAAAAAATTCTCACAAAATTATCTTCATCGAAGCCGATGCTTTACATCCGGCGTTCAGTACTATTTCATATTGTTTTACAACACATGGTTTTAGCCCTCTGGTGGGAAAGACTTTAAAGCAAAACTTACAACAGTTACTTTTATCAACAACTGAAATTTAGAATAGTGTGATTGAGAAAAATATACGAACTGTTTTCAATTTCAAATTAATATTGAAATGCACAGGTTTAGAATTTTCTACAGTGAAAAGTTTTCGGAACTTCAGTGTTCAAAAAAGTGTACAAAAGCTAGACGTTAAGAACGTATCCATTGAGCGAGCATCGGATTGCGAAGCAANTACAACAGTTACTTTTCTCAACAACTGAAATTTAGAATAGTGTGATTAAGAAAAATATGTGAACTGTTTGCAATTTCAAATTAATATTAAATTAATATTGGCGAGAGCCAGCGAGCAGGGGGCGAAGCCTCCTAGTTAATTAAATGTTTTATGAAATTTAAAT